GACCAGGAGGCGGTCGACGGCGCCGCGCGCCGCGGCGCAGGTCGGCGCGTCCGCGACGGAGTCGCCGACGAGCGCCTCGACGTCCGGCGGCGTTAGCGACGCCGCGACGCCCCGCGCGTCCGGAAACACGACGTAGCGCGACGGGGGCGGCTCCGCCGCGACGGGCGCGGCCGCCTCCCAGCCGAGCTCGTAGAGCAGACACGCCTCCAGCGCCGCGTCCTCCGCGTCGGTCCGCGGCGGCCGCGCCTCCGCGTCGTCGTCGGCGGCGGCCCAGTGGCGGTCCCGGGCGAAGGCGGCCGCGACGGTCCGCGGGCCGGCCGCGGCGTCGCCGTCGACGTCGGCCGGCCGCGGCCGGCCGACGAAGGCGCGCAGCGCCGCCGCGCAGGCGCAGACCCGCGCCGCGTCGTCCGCGCCGCGCTCGAGCGTGCCGACGGCGCACGCGTCCCGGTCGCGGAAGAGCCCGAGCACGTGCGCGGCGAGCTGCGGGTGGGGGCCGACCTCGACGTAGACGTCGCAGGACTCCGCGGCCCTGGCGACGGCCGCCGCGAAGCGCACGGGCCGCCGCGCGTGCGCGCGCCTGTGTGGAAATCAAATCTTCAACCCGACTTCAATGTGCGCGTATGCGACCGTTTCGACGCAAGGTTTTCTGCTGTGCTTCGAGAACTCGATGAGAGCAATCGATTCGTCCAAAAATCAGCCGAATCGACTTCGATTTGACCGAGCTAGAGATTTCTGAAGTTTGGCCCCGACGTCCCAGCTCACTGGTTGATTTCCACAGAGGCGCGCGCCAGTGCGCCGGCGTCGGCGCCGCCAAAAGCGGCTCGCCCGTGACCGTGGAGATGAGCGTCATCGCCCGGGGGCTGCCGCCGCCGGACCGGGGCCGCGGCGGCCACCGCGGCGCGTCCGGCGCGGCCGCCGCGGCGGCCTCGATGGCGTCGAGCGCGCCGTCGACGGCGGCCGAGTGGTAGCCCGCGGCGACGTCGAGGTCCTTGTGGCCAATCCTCGCGCCGTCGAGCGCCTCGACGGCGGCGGCGTGGGAGGCGGCGTCGGGGCACGCGACCACCACCGCCTTTCTTCCGTTCTCCGCGGCGAGCTCCGCGCCCGTGCCTTCGATCGCCGCCAGCACCTCGCGAACCGCGCCGCGGCACGCGACCATGGCGCCGGCGCCCTGGCTCTCGTCCAGCGCGCGGCCGCGGCCCGCGGCGAAGGCCAGCGCGGCGCGTAAGCTCAGCACGTCGCAGCACACACAGGCCGAGATCTCGCCGAGGCTGTGGCCGAGCGCCGCCGCGAGCACGCAGGGGCCGAAGACGTCCTCTTTCACTAAAGCCGTGAAGAGCGCGTACTGGAGGCAGACCTGGGCCACCTGGCCGAGCTCGCCGCAGGATCTCATCGCGACGTCCGCGGCGTCCGGCGGCCACTCCAGCAAAACGCCCGTCGCCAACGCCGCCGCGTCCGCGCCGTCGAAGAAGCCCCGGAGCGCGGCGCGGCGCCGCCGGAGCCGCGACCGCGGCGGCGGCTCGGGGTGGCCGTTGGCGCTGTCCGCGAGCGTCGCCAGCACCGATCGCGCGTCGAGGACCGCGTCGGCCGTCGCCGCCGCGTGGCGCAGGGCGGCGTCGAAGGCCGTCGACGCGGCCGCGAGCCCGCGGCCCATGCCGCCGTAGGCCGCGCCCTGGCCCGTGAAGACGACGCAGACGCGCGCGCGCCGCTCGCCGTCGTCGTCGGCCGCCGCGAAGGCGCCGCGCGCCGCGACGCCCGCGGACCGCCCCGGGTCGCGCGAAAAGGCCTCGAGCGCGGCCGCGAGCGCGGCGCCGTCGTCGCCGGAGACGCAGACGCGCGCGCCGGGGCCCCGCGCGGACGCGAGGACCTCGCGCCGCGCGCCGTCGCACCGCGCGGCCGCGGCGCGGAGCTCGTCGAGGGACCAGCGCTCGCGGCAGAGCCCCGCGAAGCGCCGCGCCGTCTCCGCGAGCGCCGCGCGTGAGTGGCTCTCGAGCGCGAGCGACGCGCCGTGGGCTTTGCGGCCGTCGCCCGCGGCGAGCGACGCGTCGGAGTCGTAGCCGTCGGCGACGAGGACTCTACGCGGCGGCGCCGCGGGGAAGTCGGAGAGCAGATCGTCGGGCGGCCGCGGCGGCCGGCTCAGGAGCGCGTGCGCGTTCGTGCCCGCGAAGCCGAAGCCGTTGCAGCCGCAGAGCCGCGGCGCGGCGTCGCGCGTCGCGCGCGCGACGACGAAGACGCGGTCCGCGGCCCAGTCGACGACGGCGTTGAGCCGGCGCACGTGGAGCGACCGCGGGAGCGCGCGCCGGTCGAAGGCGGCGCCGAGCTTCGCGAGCGCCGCAGCGCCCGCGGCGCACTCGAGGTGGCCCAGGTTGGATTTCACCGACGCCGTCGCGAGCGGCGCGCCCGGGCCCTCCCGCAGCGACCGGCCCAGCGCGTCGAGCTCGATGGGGTCGCCCAGGCGCGTGCCCGTGCCGTGCGCCTCGACGTACCCGACGTCGAGCTTGCGCCTCGACCCGACGGCGGCCCGGAGCATGCGCGCCTGCGCCGCCGGGTTCGGCGCCGTGAGGCCGTTGGACCTCCCGTCCTGGTTCACGGCGGTGGATTCGACGAACGCGGTCGCCGCGGACGCCGTCGCCGACACGCACGCGAACGCGACGCCCTCGCCGCGCACGTAGCCGTCGGCGCCGTCGTCGCCGAAGGCGCAGCGGTGCCGCGGGCTGAGCATGCCCGCGACGACAAAGGCCTCGGACCACGACGCCACGAGCTGGACGTTGGCCGCGCCGACGAGCGCCGCGGTCTCGTCGCCGCGCGTGAGCCGCGACGCCGCGGCGTCGAGCGCGACGAGCGCCGACGAGCACGCCGTGTCCAGGGACACCGCCGCGCCCCGCAGGTCGAGGCAGTAGGACACGCGGTTCGAGACGACCGCGATCGCGCCGACGCCTGGGCAGGACAAGCGTGCGAAATTTCCAACTTTGGAGGCTCCTATCTCGGTCGTTTTCCGCTCGTTTCGGCTCATTTTTGGACGAGCGATCATCCCTCGGAGCGCTCTCGACGCGTGGATGCTTTTTCCGGCACGCGCGCGCGCGGAACACTCATGTTGAAGCGAACTTGAATCACTCTTTTCCTGCCCCGGCCGACGCCCGTGGCCGCGTACGCCGACGGCTTCGCTCTCGCGAGGGCCGCGTAGTCGATCTGGGTCGCGCCGACGAAGACGGCGACGTCGCGGTCGCGCGCCTCGCCCGGCGCGTCGCCCCAGGCGACCTGCAGCGCCTCCGCGGCGCAGAAGAGCGCGAGGCGCTGCTGCGGGTCCGCGACGGCCGCCTCCGCGGGCGCCATGCCGAACGCGCCGGGGTCGAAGCCCTCGAGCGTCGCCTTGCCCAGGTAGCCGCTCGGCCGCCCGTTGCCCCGCCGGTTCCAGGGCGCGGGCGCCACGGCGTTGCCGCCCGCGGCGAGCAGCGCCCAGAGCGACCGCGCGTCGTCGACGTCGCCCGGCAAGCGCGCGCCGCACCCGGCGACGGCCAGCGCGGCCGCCGGCGGCGCGCTCGATGCGAGCGACGGCCGCCGCGCGGGCTGCTCGGCGGGCGCCTCGTCGTCGGCGAAGTAGGACAGGATGTGCGCCGCGACGCCGTCGATGGACACGTGCTCGAAGACGAGCGTCGGCGCGAGGTCCAGCGCCGCCGCGTCGGACAGCTTCGCCGCGAGGCTCACGGCGTGGAGCGACGTGACGCCCAGCGTCGCCAACGGCGCGGCGCCGTCCCAGTCGCCCTCGTCGCCCGTGAGCTCCCGGAGCGCGCCGCGCACGCGGCCGCTCACGTACTCCAGGCCCTGCGCCGCCGTCGCGCAGCGGCCGACGTCGCGCGCGAAGGCCGTGTCGGGCTTGAGCATCTGCCGCAGCTCCGGCGCGGACTGGAAGGACCGCGGGAGGAGCCGCGGCTCCGGCGCGGGCGCCGCGGCGGCGACGAGGTCCCGCGCGACGGCGTGCGGCGCCAACCGCGCGGCCGCGCGGCGCGCGCCGTAGAGCGCCCAGTCCGCCGGGAGCACCGCGGCGTTCGTCGCCGGCCCCCGCGCGAGCGCCGCGAGCACGGCGAGGCCCGCGTCCAGGGGCACGAAGCGCAGGCCCGTCGCGAGCACGCGCGCCTCGAACGCCGCGCCGAAGCGGTGCGCCATGCCCGCGCCGGCCCACGTGCCCCAGGCGACGGCCGTCGCCGGCGCGCCCGCGGCCCGGCGGCACCGCGCGAAGCCGTCCTGGAAGGCGTTCGCGGCCGCGTAGTGGCACAGGTCGCGCGACGCCAGCACGCCGTAGACCTGTGTGCAAATCAACCAGTGAGCTGGGACGTCGGGGCCAAACTTGAGAATTCTCTAGCTCGGTCAAATCGAAGTCGATTCGGCTGACTTTTGGACGAATCGATTGCTCTCAGCGAGTTCTCGAAGCACGGCGGAAGTGCTCGTGTCAAAACATTCGCATACGCGCACATTGAAGTCGGGTTGAAGATTTGATTTGCACACAGCCGTAGACGGAGCTGAACATGACGAACGTCGCCGACGGCCCCGCGCGCGACGCCGCGTCGAGGCACAGCGACCCGGCGACCTTCGGGCGGCAGACGTCGTCGAACTCGCGCCAGGCCACGGCCGCGACGGACGCGGAGCCG